GACAAAGAAGTGAAGAAGAGTGCGTGGAAAGACAAAAGACACTTCCATGAAACACTGGCAAGTGAAGCAGAACAGGCTGCAGGTAGGAGAGATAGAGACCTGACAACATTGTATCAAATAACCAGGTTACTATCTGGGAAGAGATCAACACAGCCGAAACCAATAAAAGATGATGAATGAAATCTAATTACTAAAGAAGAGAAACAAAGGAAACAATGGGCCGACCACTTCAAAAAGCTCTTGAATCAGCCACAACCTGCACTTCGTCCAGAAATACCACCTACAGCCCCTGAACTACAAGTGAACATAAATCCTCTAACAAAAGTGAAAGTCCTGAACGCCATAAAGCTACTGAAATGCGGGAAAGCAGCAAGACCAGATGGGATCCCGCCAGAAGCACTGAGAGCAGCGGGCATGCTCACACCACACCACTATTGCAGAAGGTGTGGAAGGAAGAGAAGGTACCTGGCCACTGATCTGAAGAAGGGTTACCTTGTCAAACTTCCGAAGAAAGGAGACCTCATTGTTTGCAAGAACTGGCGCGGAATCACTCTCCTGTCTACCCAATGCAAGAAAAATATATAGCCGCATCATCCTGAAGAGGCTAAAGGATGCACTGGATTCAAAACTACGACCGGAACAGGCAGGCTTCAGAAAGCACAAATAATATGTGGACCAAATTGCAACGCTGCGCCACGCATCATCATAGAACGGAGTATAGAATGACAGTCAACTCTACACCTCAACTTTATCGACTTTGTGATGGCCTTTGACAGCGTCGACCGAGAGGTAATTTGGAAACTGCTTCATTACTACGGAGTACCGCAAACCTTTATCCGCCTCATTCAACAACTATATGAAGATGCTACATGCCAAGTAATTCACAATGGTAGCTCAGTGAGGCTTTTGAAGTGAAGACAGGAGTAAAACAAGGTTGCCTACTATCCCCTTGGTATTCCTGATTGTGGTCGACTGGATCATGCAACAAACAGTGGGGAGCGAGAAGAGGGGGGTAGGCTGGCTGGACTGCGGAAAAGAACCTAGAAGATCTGGATTTCGCCTATGACTTGTGCCTGATGTCACACAAACTTGAAGACCTACAGGCGAAAACTAACAAGTTGACAGAAGAGGCAGGGCAGCGAAGACGGGACTTCAGGTGAATATATAGAAGATAGAAGTGCTGAAAATACCGCACCAACAACTCCAACAACAACAACAAACGCCAGTCACCATCAACGGGAGAAACTTAAAGGGAGTAACCTCCTTCACCTATCTAGGAAGCACTGTTCCAACTACAGGCGGGACGGACGAGGACGTCAAAGTCAGAATTGGAAAAGCAAGACAGGCGTTCATTAGCCTGAAACCAGTGTGGAGATCTTCTGCACTCAGCATGCGGAACAAGATCTGGATTTTCAACACCAACGTCAAGTCAGTGCTTCTGTATGGTTCAGAGACTTGGCGCGTCACGAAAGGCATTTCCAATAAACTACAGGCATCCATCAACAACTGTTTACGCTCGCCACTGAAGATCAGATGGCTAGAAAGAATAAGCAACAAGGAGCTCTGGGAACGAACCAACCAAGAACCTATCGCTCAACAAATATGAACTGGAAGGAAGTGGAGATGGATTGGGCATACACTGAGAAGGCCGATTGGGGACATCACGCACCAGGCCAGTCCTTCGAGTGGAACTCCAAGGGGAAGCGACGAGTTGGGCGTCCGAAGTGAGGGTGACATGGAGGAGGTCGTGCGAGGAGGAAATGAGAGCTTGTGGGCTGTCGTGGAGCCAGGTTCAAAAGATTTCGGCGAACAGAGTTCACTGGAGACGTGCTACTGAAGTCCTATGTTACATTAGGAACCCAAGGGACTAATAATAATAATTGACGTTAGTATTGGCCTACTTATAAGTAGCCAAACGTTATTAATAGAATTATGACAGCCCACGCAAAGCAACTAGGTACGTTGCGTTCTAATAAATCCCCACCCCAAATTCCCTTGCGGTTCAGGACACAATGCTATATATTAGCTCTAGAATTACTACAGTTATACATATACTGTTTAAGATCTAAGGAATCATAGCTGATCTGATAAATCATTCGCTGTCTCATAGTAACAAGGTACGTACTCAGACATTCATGGCTTAACCTTCGAGACATGAGGATAACTATCGGCGGGATCAACCAGTTTATTCACAGAACGGTATACCCGTCATTTAAACGGATAATTATACATTGGTGTTCAGGAGGACCGAACAAACATCTAGGCTTTTTAAAACCAGGACAGTAAACAGTCCCACCTTGTAACCCAACTACATGGGTACCCTCACCCCCCAAAGGACTATTTGCACCGTTTGTTTGCACAAGCAAGTACAGTTAATCCAATCAATTACGCACAACATGGACAAGCTAATTCTTACATATCCCGTCAACACAACTTATCAAACACTGTATAATAGGGAAGGGTAGCTTGCATTACAACGTCACAATTTCACAAGGCTTTTGAGAACGATGCTAACAACCATCTAAAACAATGAAATCGTTAATCCAGCGAACCAGTTATATCTGTGATAGCCTTTATATAAATCAAAAAGATCATTCCAAACCATACATTATTACATTGCTGAAGCTCTAGCAGCATATAACTCATTTCGATACTAATGTAGCCTAGGGTAGTTAATAGGTAAGGCAGCCTAGGAAAATGTGACGGAACTACATTCAAGCATATATATATATATATATATATATATATATATATATATATATATATATATATATATATATATATATATATATATATATATATAGTCTGCTTCATTTTCTACACAGTAGTAAAACTCCAACGTATATAACAATGACGGTATCCCAACTCTGATTAGAGCTGATGTAATTTGTGCCATGTGATAACTGGTGTTTGAAGTCACTCTTACTGTAGGGCTGTGATAAGTGGATGAAGCCACGAATGAGTAGCTAGACTGACAAAGTTAGAAACTTGTTGTGCTCAAATGTGAGCATGGAATTATAGTAAACCAAAAGCATTTTTAATTTTTAAAGTTCAGCAAGCACTTATATAATCAGTGAAATTTTACTTTATGCAGTTAGTCTGCTTTTTTGGTAAAAAACAAACCCGAAATTTACTTTGTTCTAGACAAACAATATAAGAATCTTTATACCCGGGCAAAAATCCTACGTAAGACCAAGATATGGTAAATTTTGAATTTCCTGAACAACTCAGTGATAACATACTTGATTAAAAAGCTGAAAGAAAATAAACTCAGATACCTTAGGTTGCCTCAGCTCGCCTAAAGTTACAGATTCACTTTACTGACGAATGTCAACATGGAGCGAATACTAGGTGCATGGATTCCAAGGATTACCTAAAACAGCCTACTCAGAATTTCTGATAGACACTTATTTTGAATTTTCTTCACATAATCCCCAATAAAGTTAGTAGTATGAGACTAAGATACTACTATTAGTAAGAAATAATTTGAAGCTTAAGACGAGAATGTCCAGAAACGATTTCATAAAGTTCATTCGAAAAACATGAGTTTTTTCTTAGATGCTACCTGTTTTACCCAAGCAAACTATTTACATGTGGAGTTGGACAGTTCAGCTTACATTGACAGTTTATTTCTATTTCTAAACTACGCATGATTATATCAGATGTGTGCAGTTACAATAACTCAAATCTATTTCATTTTATTCAGATGGAACACCTCTCCTTTAAGTGGGGAGAAACTCCTAATTACTGTGGTGCTTAGATTAAATTTACCAGTTACATATGAAATATCAATAGAAGTATAAAAAGTTTACTGAACCAAAAACCATCACAGAAAGTTGCTACCCATCGTTATCATCTTAGAAGCTAAGGATTCTAAATAGCATACTTCAATGCACAGATAACTAGTCTTACAACAAATAATCTGTTGGCTGGAGCTATTCAAACTTGCAAGTAACCGTCCCTCTAGTATAAAGAGTCAATTTCATTATAAGTAACTCAGATCTACAATATTTTATTTGAGGCACATAAAAACTTAGTCAAGCTCATTTTCAGAAGTTTCCATTGAAACGGTTCCATGTTAACTCTGGTTTTTATCCAACTCTAACACCACTTCTTCGAATCAGTAGATTTATTTACCACCAATGTTAAGATTAAAACTGTGAGAAAAGATAGTTTTCGACAAATCCTAACTAATTTATACCAAGTAATTCCCCCATAATGCATTTTTACTCGAAAAAACAGTATTTTTAGTTTTAGACGTACTTTCTATCTGGCATTTCTCAGGAAGCCTCAGCTATCCTGTATCATTTACTCGTTCATTAAAACTTTTTTTAACGATAAAGATGAATTTAATGTCTTATTAAAAGTTATTTTGTCTGGTCTTCAATCGTTCAAAATCTCAGGGATGTATGAGCTATGAGGTTCCTCAGCTTACAGATTGCAAAAGCATAACGATCAATGAATTTCATACTAGCTGCTTTACGTGACTACTTCCCTTAGCTATTCACTAAGACTAATTTCTTTTTAATTAAGACATTGGTAAGAACAACTCATTAGGGACGATATTATAATCAAATGTCTCAAAAGCAAGAACCCGCTACCAGTTTTTTGACTAACATCTATGTAAATCAGAATTTATGGTTTGCCTTTAGATTACTTCCTATTCGATCTAAAGACTATTATACTTTCGAAATTTTAGTGACATCGTAAATGATTTCACATTTAAGTACAAAGTAGACAACTAAGTCAATCAGTTTAATGAAGAACCAAAATGTTTCCGGCTACTTATTAGCAATATGCGGTACTGAGTGGTAGCAAGCGATTTAAAGGACACCGCAGATCTCCATTACCTTTCCATTCATTCAGATAATCACGTAGCTGAGATGAACTAATAATGACTTGTATGTAATAACGATATCAAAAAAGTAAGTATCTTCAGGTTATTTTAGCATAATTAGCTTTTAGTAATTTGGTATCGGGTATAGAATGACGGTAACTGCTGAATTAACACGTCCTCAGTTTCAATCAAGAAAATATTTGCATCATCTACCTCTGAAACATGTCTAACATAAACCGCCAAAATTAACATCAAACCTCTTTTTCAAGTTCACTTATCGAACTAGAACAAAAGTGTTAATCTCAGTCAACTAAAAATAAGACAAAATTACAAGTATTTTACAGTATTGGCAATTACAATCCTACTTCTTCATGTAGCATGTAACAACAGCTTTCAAGAACAAGAAATACAGATATCAGAAAATTAAAAAGAAGGTAATATAATTCCCAATGTGATTTCAATACATTTGAAATCATTAATAAATTAAATTTAAATAAGGCTTATTTCATAATTAAATAAATCCAAGTGAAAGAGTAAAGTTCATCACTAGTATTATCCGGTCAACTAGTATCTTTGTCTAAACTCCATCAGTATTCATTAGCATTAACAAGTCTTCTTGTAAAGTTTCCCTTTTCTTATCAGTTGTGTAACCTAGATTTTGCAGATTTTTCACGGCAATATTGAATATGATATCCACAAATCCTTGAGTGTGAACTTTTGTCACTAATGAAAACAGAAAAGGATCGAAAAATTAAAGAATAAACGAAGTGAAAAAGTGGAGCTTTTTCTTGTCAAGAAAAATAAAACATTATTAGATTGATACCAATAGTGTCACTTATGCTTTAAATAACAGCTAAGCAACATATTTAACTAAGTTCATCATTCTTTAGAAAATAGTAAACAGTTTCATAGCTTGAAAGTATAGTACTACTCATAAACCTCTGCAATGTGATCAGTTTATATAAAGTTGAATAATCACTGAAAAGTATGAAATTAAATAGTTTTTTTTCATTATGATTCCGCACATATCCGTTGTGCTTCACATGTACTTCGTCGACTAAACTGAAGAATTTTCGAAGGAGCCGTTAATGTTGCAGCATTAGAGATGAATTTAGTGAACGATATTCCACGGTCAGGATAGCATAAGTAAACACCTCTGATTACTTATCTAATGTATGAATACTTTAGTAAAACGGTTTTTAAAAAGCGTACCTAATAACCACATCACTAACCAGTAATCCATAAGCATTAATTGATCGGAAAAGTGTCTGGCCGATAATTTTGATGCTGAACGCAATGCTTTGAATGAATGGCGAGAAATACAATTCATCTGTTGAAACCTGTCTTAAAACTTGACCCTAGGAAGACATTCAAGCTTTTCTGATACAGATTCACCTCAAACAGTTCGGCAAGTATTTAGTTCGTGAAAAGTGCTTCTTCTTTACAAAACTGATAAAACATAAAAAAGATGTTTATGATACTCACTGATTCATCAAGATTTAATCCTGTAATGAGGGAAAAGGCAAACATTGGCACTAGAAAGGAGAGTCATAAACAATTTGACAAATGTTTGAAGTTGGTCGAGAACTCTACGTCTAATAATCTGAAGCCTAGAGGTTCACGCTTATCTTTGCTTTTTGCCCCACTGAAAACCCACAAAATGAATATGTCGCTAAAATTTGCAGCATCGAACTCCTCACTTCAAAAACTGACCTAATGGTTATCAGAGTAGCCGACACCCATTCTTGAGAGGCTAGCTGCTTAGTTAGTCGAAAAACTGAAAAACATAAGTATCTGGAAAGGATTTTCCGGTACGCTTCGACATTTCTTCTCTATTCACCAGCATTACAGGCGAGGAAACTACTAAGATCATCTGTGGATGATCTGAATTGTTTCCTCAATCTGGAGAAAACCTGAAGTAACTTCTGGCTTCATTTTAGTCCTAATAATCAGTATATCGACGAACTGACAGAACAGTCATAAAATACTCACTTAGCCGAATATTTACCGACATACTTATGTCAAACTTAGAGGCGAACAAAATAAAGCCAGCTACCGGTGATGTTACATTTTCTATGAGATACGTGGATGAAACACTGGTGATCTGAAGAGATATAAGTTTTAAACATCGAGGCCATAGTTTTTAAAAATGGCCTGAAAGAAGTTGAGCCCCGAGTCTGATTTAATCATCACAAGAATATTTTTTAACATAATCCAAGCGTGCTTAGAAAGTCAAAACACGCTGGCTTATATTAAGTCATAAATCATGCCTAGAAATGTTTTACACATAAAAAAATACACATCAGGGATAACCCCATTTTTAATATTTGATAACAGTACACCTTGTAAAAGTGCATATGATGAAGATACTTGGACTAGGCAGCACCTAGATTACAACAGACAGGTAAATCAACATAGAACCTCTCATGGAAGTGCATCAGTCCAAGTTGTCATACTTGACAAAAAGTGTCGCAGATTTTCAGCCATGTTACCAGCAACCTCTAATCCGTGACCCATATCGTCTCCATAACTTCAGTCAGGTCGTTTATACCTCTTTACACAGCTCAGACCAACAGCTAAGACTTCATGGATTGGTGTGGAGTGTTGGCCAAGTCATCCTTCACGCTTTTCTAGCCCAATACTATCCAAGCTAACATCAGAAGTAAAGGTATGTAGTGCGCTGAGATGCTCAATACATGTTCAGGACATCTAAGCCTTCCTCTATTGAACTCTAAATGGCAAGTGGTTACAACGTTCCTCAATGAGGTTGGAAAGCTTTTCTCAGAAGATAAACTACATAATGACTCAGTTCTAATTAAGATGCATTTGTCAGACAACTGTAATCTAGAACCTTTCAATTCACCAGATCGACTTCATCTCAATCTCAAGAGAGTGGAGATGAAGCCTGCTGGACACAAGATCATACAAGAAGAGGAGTAGATGTAGGTTCACACCACTCACTATCTAGTGCAAGCAATCTGCCTTCAAAATCAAGTTGAAAGCCTTCAAAGAAGCTGGTGATAGACCACACTTCAAGTTCAACATCCAGAACAGAAACTGAACTGAAGGACGAAACTACAAACGACATCTTCACGTCAGCCAGTCATCAGAAAAAAGTGGCAGACATTAACCAACATCCCCGAGGAAATCCATGTGGAAGAGAACACTGAAACTGTAGGAAAGTGACCTGGAAGGAAACCTGCACAACCGTGTTAGGAAGGAAGAAGAAGACACGAGACAAGGAATGGATCTCGATGGACACGTGGAAGCTGATAGAGCGGAGAAAGGAAGATGGTGAACCAGAAGATGAACCAGTACAGTGAAGTCCAGTCCAGGGATGAACAACGAAAACAAGAACTGAACACAACCTTTAAAACACTACACTGGACAAAAAAGTGAAGAAGATTGCGCTCAAAGGCAAAGGACACTTCTACGACACACTGGCAAGTGAAAAAGAAGGTAGGAGAGACCCGACAACATTATATCAAATAACCAGGTTACCATCTGGCAAAACAGAGATCAACTCAGATGAAACCAATAAAAGGTAGTGAAGGAAACTTAGTTACCAAGGAGAGAGGGAAAACAAAGGAAACGATGGGCTGACCACTTCAAATAACTCCTGAATCGACCAACAACAACATCACCACCTGCAACTCGTCCAGAAATATCACCACCAGCAGACCACCTACAGAACTATCAGTGAACGCCATAAGGTTACTGAAATCCGGGAAACCAGCGGGACCAGATGAAATTCCTCCAGAAGCACTGAAAACAGGCGCAGAGACATCAGCAACGGACATGCTCACACCATTACTGCAGAACGCTTGGAAGGAGGGAAAGATACTGCCTGAGAGATTGGAAGAAGGGCTACCTGGTCAAACTCCCAGAGAAGAGAGACCTAAGTCTTTTCGAGAACTGGCGAGGAATCATGCTACACCCCCGTCCACCCAAAGCAAGCAAAATATTAGGCCAGATCATCCTGGAGAGATTAAAAAATGCGCTGCATTCAAAAGTACGACCGAAACTGGCTGGATTCAGGAAGAACAAATCATGTGTCGATCAAATTGCAACGCTAACGCTACGCATCATCATAGAACAGAGCATAGAATGACAGTCAACTCTCTACCTCAACTTTATCGATTTTGAAGAGACCTTCGACAGCGTCGACCGACAAGTAATTTGGCAGCTGCTTCAACACTACGGTTTTAGTGACACAAACACTTACCAACCTCATTCAACAGCGATATGCTACATGACGACGCTACACGCCAAGTGATTCACAGTGGAAAGCTCAGTGATGCCTTGGAAGTGAAGACAGGAGTAAGACAAGGTTGTCGCCTACTATCACTTATGACCTTCCTGATTGTGGTCAACTGGACCATGCATCAAACTGTGAGGAGCGAGAAGCGGAGCATACGCTGGCTGGACCGATGAAAAGACCCCAGAAGGAGATTTGGATTTCGCCGCCGATAATGATTTATGCCTAATGTCTTGTGGCACAAACTCGAAGATCTACAGGCGAAAACTTACAAATTGGCAGAAGAGGCAGTGAAGGAAGACGGAACTTCAAGTGAACATGGAGAAGACAGAGATGAAAAAGATACCCAACCAACAACAACAAGTACCAATCACCATCAACGGGAGAAATCTAAAGGAAGTTGTCTCCTTCATCTACCTAGGCGGCATCGTTTTAGCAACAGGCGGCGGTGGCACAGATGAGGACGTCAAAGATAGGATCGGAAGGAAAACAAGACAGGCCTTTAGTAACCTGAAATCAGTGTGGAGATCTACTGCACCCCACCCAGCATACAGAACGAGATCCGGATTTTCAACACTAATATCAAGTCAGTGCTGATGTATGGTTCAGAAACTTGGCGCGTCACGAAAAGCATTTCCAACAAACTATAAACACTCATCTACAGCTGCCTACCCTCGATACTAAAGATCAGATGGCCAGAATAATACGAATAAGCAACAAGGAACTCTGGCTGGCAATGAACCAACCAAGAACACAACGCCCAACAAATATGCAGAAGAAAGTGGAGATGGATTGGATGAGGCATACACTGAGATCATTTGGGGACATCACGCGCCAGACCAGGCCGTCGAGTGGAACTCCAAGGGGAAGCGACTAGTTGGGCGTCCGAAGCGAGGGTGACATGAAGGAGATCATGTGAGGAAGAAATGAAAGCTTGTGGACAGTCGTGGAGCCAGGTTCAAAAGAATGCAGAGAAGAGAGTGGAATGCAGACATGCTACTGAATCCCTATTTTCCACTAGGAACCCAAGGTACAAATAATAAAATAAATAATAATGGAACCCTCAATCGAAAAGTATCACCACCAGCAGCCCAGCTACGGAACTATCAGTGAACGCCATAAGGTTACTGAAATCCGGGAAACCAGCGGATCAGAAAAACAATGCACGTATGGTTGTGAAAACATTCCGGTTTATTCACTTGGTGCACTAAAAATGAGGTTCCACAAATCATCGGCAGAAGATTATTGGCCTTTCTTACCAAAAGGTTTTTCGTCCGAAATTTTTTATATTGTTAGTCAAAAATAGACAAATACTTACTCAACGTCACACCAAACTGTATTTAAGGAATCAGATGTAATTTCCAAAGTATATGTATCAGATAGACAGAAAGAAGAGCTTGTGTTCACCTTCCTAAACATGTTCCGAAAATTCTGACCTCACTGAGATCCTACTAATATATTTCATTTATAAAAGAGCAACTTTTTGCAAACCTTCTTTCAAACTTAACTAATTATATTTATAACCTGTGGACTGCGAAAAGGAATCAAGGTGAATCTGAAACACTTTCACTAGGATTTTCTGAGGAAGCTAACTAGCAGAATTAGCACATGAGCCCGATTTGAGAACTTATTCAACCAGTTGATAGAATTAGTTTCGATAAATGAAGAAAAGGATGGTTGAAATCAAAATTGGCCCCCATTCCTTATCAGTATTTCATCTCACTGGCTCAATCATGCAAACACTACCATATAGCACCAAAAGTCTCAGGTATGACGATACGGTTGTGAGATAAAGACCAGGTAAAGGTTAGGGTGCTTGTATAACGAATAAGGAGGACTGCAGTAAGGAAAATGAACTCAATACTTCAAAATTCAAAAGCGGCAACTACAAAATGGATCTGGCTGGTTCGGCAAAAGATAAATCATAACAATCCTGAAAGAACAGTTAATAAACTGACCAATAATTCGACACAAAACAATTTGACACTTAGTCTCATTCACCATGTGTTTACAGAGTACTTAAGATACACTAACAGAATACTCCATTAAGACAGATAATATGCATGATTAGTTATCCTTACCGCAAAGTCGCTCTTTGGTCGATTGAAAAACGAGAATCTATTTGATGAAGACTGGCTGCATACTATCGAAAAGAATCGTTCTAGTTCGCCAAAAAATTAAACCATAATAACACTCCCAAAAGTTCAAGTTTCTTTGATGTAACACTTACCTTTACATAAAATTACAGGTATTATCTACCAATTTTCGGATCAAATCCGTTTGCCATAACCAGAGTTCAAACATCTGTTTACATGCACGAAAGATAATCACTCTCAATTCAACTACAATTTCAACCGTCAAACTGACAAAGCAGCAAATGGAAATCTACCAGGTCCTTGGTTGGCGGATATCTTACTGGCCAACCCCGAGAAAATGAAACTCAAATGTACATTCGAGAAAACAACATTTTATACTAGTTACATCGATGATATATTCATCATCTGCAACGACTTATGCCATGCTTCTAATTTGAGATATTCCAATGACGTTTATACAAATACTAAGTTTACCACGGTACAAAAAACTGATGACATTTAACTTTCTCGATATTGCCATACAAAGTAGGATGGATGGCACGCTTCTAAAGTCCTTTTTTAGCGGAAGCTTGTGTGGAGCGGACTATGTTTGAAATTCAACAGTTTCTTTTCAGTTACTTACGAATGGGCACCAGTAGAAATATTATTTGGTAGGAAGACAGTGTTATGCTTAGGAGATAAGTTGGGGGAAGAGTTGCTAAATTTTCACCCTTTTCTGGTTACATCATCTCCTTACAAAATGTAAATTTTAACTTCCATCTTTAGTTTAGGTCATATTTAGTTAAAGCTTGTGTGCTTCATACTGACCTTGATTTTGACTAATTGAATTTAACCAACTAAATTGCACACATTTTAATTCCGTGTTCACACACTGTATCACTAAGACAATCATCAATTCTTAGTATCACGATATTTTGTTGCTATTCCTATCCCTCGTTCAAGAACTATTCATTGTATAATATAAATAATCATGATATTTCGGCGTTTGATCTTGTTTCCTTTGGGTCTGTTACCACGATGTTTATTTCTCTTTATTTCAACTATTGACCGAACTTATTATCAGTGGGTCCTCATTATAATCATTATATTTTAGTGTTCTAGGTTGTAAGCAGCTGATAAGAAACTGATGAAATAAAAAGGCGCCATTATACTGAGATTGATTTTCTTGTTTTTACCAAGCTAACCAAAGAAAATATGTGTATGAGATTCCCATAGTTTTACTTATCTGTTGTAAATATCTTATACAATATAATATGATATATATCAGTTTGTTTTCATTTTATAGATCTGATATTATTGTGACGACTATTTGCGCTGTTTTTTTATGCCCCTCTAGAATCTCCCTCTCGAATACGTGCATATAAATAAGTTTGATCACCTTCATTGGTATTATTGACACTTTTCTATCCGACTTTACCCTTCCTTTCGATCTTTCTAAATGCATATGATTATTTTGTTACAACGCAAAGTACGTTGATGATTATATTCCCTGCTTATTCTGTGTTTGCTTTAGGTTGTTTTCAAATGAGGAAAAGCTGAGAAGTAAATAACTCGATTTATTTCACAATCTTGTTCTTTTTGTTTGAGTGAAAGCGACTAAGAGATTGTGTGGTATAGGTTAGCCAGACTCATTGCCAAAACTTCCAAGCTAAGTGCTATTCTAGAAGTGTTAGGAATTCGGCCCACGGTTTTTTCCCTCGACCAACTCAAATCTTGAATGTATTAGAATGGTAAGCTTTATGATATCTTCTGTATATTGGTTGTAGTCAGTGTTCAGTATTACCATAGTCTAAATTGAGGGATTCATAAAAATCTATGGTGATCAAAAACTTTTTGTCGCCTACATTTACTTCTAAATGATGTAATGTAGTACAGTGACGAATTTAATGCAGCAAAAACCATACCAAGCGAAGTTATTGTGAAGCATTCGAACAAACAATTACTATTTCACCACATTCTTGCACATACTACACTGACTCAAACTACGTCTGCAGAAAAAAACCATTTTTCTATACTTATTTATAATTAGATAAACGACTTACTGTTTTCTTGATACCAAAAACATTTTGAGTGTTACCAGCTGAAAACAGCAAAAACGAAATACAATAGGCGTAGAACCTGGCACAAAAGTGTATAAGCCTAAGTAGCCACAGTTCACAGCAACACGATAAAAAGAAGTGGGAAGAAAAGAAATGAAATCAAACCTGACAAGTGTGCATGATAGACTAGAAGGTTGATAAAAATGTCCAGAATCTCGGATATGATAAAGAGTGAATAAATCTACACCATTGTAACCGATTTTGATTCATATTATTAACAGTTTTAAACCACTGACTCTTCGACCTAAAAAACGACAGTTAAGTAGCTTACATTCTCCCACAAGACTTAAACCAATAACCAAGGAGTGGATGAACTAGTGTAGGTTTTATACGTAATCAAAAAAGTTAACTTAGTTGTCGTTGTGTTGAATGTTTGACATAGGTCTCGTATTAAAAATTTATTTCGCAATGTTGGTAAAAGCATAGTGGCCATAGAACAAACGGTTGATGGGATAGAAAACATTTCAGTGTAGTATCATAAACATTACTTACTGAAGTACCAAAACCTGTATCCCTCATTTATGTTGCAAAACAGTATAGAAGCTGTAAAGATGAGCACTTGAAACTGACAAAACGACTAATTTCTGGCATATTAATAGAATCATCACGAAAGAAATCAAATAGGTATCGAAATTTAAAAGGTTACTAACCTCCACGACCTTCACCACTAGCTATTACTTTTGGATTAAGAAATTCTGGTCTTTTCCCGGTCAGCCAAGCATTTAATTTCATCAGTTTAGAAGACGATTGTGGTACAAACATGGCTACTCGTCTTCTGTGGCTGGACAAGAACAAAATGATGGAAAACACACTTGAAGGTCATGACAAAATCTGAAAGAGTATATCAAAAAATAATCAGCAGCAGTGGACGCATGAACAAATTTTTTCATACACTGGTAACATCACAACGATACACAACATTGTAGTCAAAGAATTCCCTTAGATCCAGTGGAAATTTGTTGAATGCCGGAGTCAGTGTTGATATTTTTAAAATTTTTCACTTCGAAACCATGCTACAAACAGTTATTTTTCCCCAGCCACATTAAGTAGGCCAGAGATTGCGTTTATTTAGGAGGGATTGATAAGCGTAGTCGTAAGTTTGGACCCAACTCCACTTGCTTCACCTTGGGTCGCTTAAGCAGTATCATAATCCTCCTCACAACATTTGTGTTCAGATTTGAATTACACTGATTTCTTAATTTAAAGTCACATAAACCTGGAAATATCAAGATCCACTTCGCACCAGCTACCTGGCCATTAGACCAACACAATAACCTAGGATATATTCCAAAAGTCACTTGGTGGTTATAATTCAAAACACACCGAAACGTTTGACAAATCCTGATAGAATCTTGTCAAAAAACAGTTATGATATCATTTGACAACAAAAAATATAATAAAAACAGTTTCTCAGAAAATATTCTAACCACCACTTATACGACAGATAAGTCGACAGTCACAACCAATTTCAGTTGAAGATGGCAACTTTATCAGAAATACATCTGATACATCTGAGCTACAGAAGTCGATTTAGACTCATATTATTTAGACCCATCAATCACCGGTTTCTGCTGCCAACCCGACCCAAAATGAAAAGTCTACAACTTTTTACATATCTAAAACTAACAGTCACAGACTTCATTCACTGATGCTATTTTTCAGTCTAGCTGCTTCCAAACCTTTGGCAGCCTAAGCCTAATTCATTGTACCAAGGGTAAACTGGTGATTAAGTATCTGTAACACATTTCCTAGGCATTTGAGTGGATGAGGAACTAAAACCTTAATAAATGACTGACCTCTCTTATGCAAAACTCTACACCTGACCTATACTTTTTCAATGATGCGCTTACAAGATATACGGTCTATACTATGAAGGCAACAATAAACAAACACCTGGATCTTCCTTCTCATATTCTTTACCTTTTATGACTTCATTCCAAAGCCATAGTGCGGAACAGAAAGAACCTATACAGAAAATGCGACCCTCAGTAGGCAATCGGATATCATATCAGTGCCACAAGTTGGCAGAAAGTGACCACTGACTAAACAAGGCTAATCAAACTTCCCACTAGATGAGTTTATTCGTGTCCAACCACTGCACTTTTTTTGTGAAAAGAGGCAACAACGCAGATAAGTCCTGGTGCAACATTTTACATTTGCATGATGTAAAATGCATCCGGAACATCGTTAAAAGTAATTTCAGTTAAGAACTCACACTTCTGATAATTCACGAAGGGATATTAAACTTTCTTAAATCAGTCGTCAAACGTCTCGAAATAAATATGTCAGGTACCCTTTAATGCAACAGCTTCATTTTAGTGACCGTCGACAATTATCAAATGCAATTTAAAATTCCAGTTTAGTTAACAAAAGCCAATGAGTTGCGTGGTATTCAAATTTTTCGTTATCGAACATTTAAGGTCCTTCGTTTGTAAGAATATTCACGATGAACTAATCATTTACCTAGACTTTACATGCAAACATTATTTGTTTGAAGGAACAAATATCAATTAAAAGTTTGGGTAATACATAAGTATCTCTTTACTTTGAAAACTCTAATCAACGGCCTACAATGACGACAAAACACACAGCATTTCATGTAAAAATCAAGTTTGAAATGTGTAAATTAAGTCAAAAACACGACTGTTTTCCAAAATAATGTAGGTTCAAAAGCTCACTAGACAATAACACACACGTGTTGTGAATACTAAGCTAGAGAGATAAAAATGATCTCCACTCAGTTTCCTTGGAATATAATCGCAAACGACACCCTGGTTTAAGAAGATGGAGGTCATAGTTACAAGATTTCTCGTAATCATATGCTTATCTACCAGCTGATTTTTTCACTACAAATTGAATGACATTACATAAGTGTCTATACAAATCATTAGAAAGCATTCAACGTAAGCAGAATAAGCTGAAAAGGCAATTTTGTTGATATAGTTCTCGAGTTTAAAGTCAAAATTTGGGTAAGATTTCTATACAAAGTCAGTATATATATCAAGGTCGCCTACACGAACTACTAAGATCCGTAGAAAAACTGACTCTTGTATGACAACCCGGGTTATTAAAACACGATTTGCAAAGTAATTCTACATATCCATCTTCTTCTTGTTGCATATATGCGCCCCTTTTGTAAAGCGTCCTTTAAAAACTACGGGGTATTTTACCAGATATTTTAGGAATCCTTAGTGTTTAAACGAGCCACTACTTTTCTAGGCTAACTACTCATCATCAAAAACGATACCAAATTGAAAATACGATAAACCTTGAAAAATTATTCATTTTTCATCTTTACTTCAAGGATGTCGTTGCGAAACATCAGTAATGCAGTTGGTGCAGTACAAAGCTAATTTTTGAGCATGAATTTGAAATAGTAGGCTCTAGCGAATGCGTTACTGAGTCCAAGCTATAAAATACAGCTTTTTATCCAAATATCTCTACTCAATTCATTTATTTCCGAAAAACAGAACAGATATTGATGTATTTAGATCAGCGACAAGTACTAATTCTTGTCATCCTTACGCCTCCTTGTGCGACCTAGGTTGTGGCTTAATAACCAGGTTATATAAAACACTAGACAGACCTCTTCTAATAAACGCAAGTTAGTAACCTTATCCGGATATCGATTTCCTTAAAAAGAACGTTTCAATTTTTCACATTATGCATGCCAATAGATTACAACGCCTTAAATGGATACTCCATAAAATACAAATCCCAAGTTCACAGGCGGTAAAAAGCTTATTAGGGGACTGATTGCATGCATTCATATAGCATATTATACGTTTTTCAGCACATTATAAAATACCGGAGGGAGGAGAAATACCTGCCGATTTTCATTGGAATATGAACCGCTCCATAGCCCCTTACAACATCTTTCCCAAATATATCAATGCCGTATGCGTGAAGAACTATTTGAGGCCCTATGAAATGTTTTACAATACAGATTGACTTACAACCAAATGGATTCGTAGATTTCCAAGAAATATCAATAGGAAAATTCAGATTATTCTGTCTGTTGCATCCACAGCCTTTAATGGAAGTTTGTGTCATACCTTCATCTATTCCCTAATGTTAAGTAATATTGCTGCTTTTCTTAGCATCTTACTGCAACTTTAATCCAGTCTTGACCACATGTAAAGGAGTACTTGCACCAAATATAGTCATGCAATGGAAACTAATAAAAACGTTAAGGAATCTGCATCCTACATCGGCTTTTTCAATCTGTCCAGTCACTGACAGAAGGAAATAACCATCAAAACCCCCATCTGATGTCATCTTTTGAAATTGTACAATGCAGTTGACAACAGATCTTAAGACACATAGTGAATTCAAACAAAGGAAGATCCTTTAAAACAGTGACTTCCAAATAAACCTGTTACCCACTATTACTATCTTTGCACTTTTGTTCAGTTTGATTACCACCTGAAGTGCTTCAAGCTTCTAAAACCTTTCTGCTGATGTAATCCCTGGAGCTAGTACGGGAGCAATCCAATTTCCACCATCCTTTTACGAGTTGATATGGACCAAATGATTTACTCGTGCTCTCCTTCAAACCTTGCGGACTGGTTTCAGGTCTTCGGTGTATTCCGTTGCCATAGGTTTACCCACCTGTTGGCTGTAGCTCTGGTATGCCAGATGAGCGGTTGTGTTAGTTAACTTTGTAGGGGTTGTGTAATTTTCCAAGGACTGTGGTACACATGGGTTTCTAAGATGTCGTGTCACCAATGTAGCGCATTCGAAATCTTATTCATTCACTTTGGGGCTTCGCTCTACTGTTTGTCAGTTATCTTTTATTATTAAATGTAAGTACATCCTGTGTACTTGCTGAGTCGTCGGCTCACCTTTCTTCTCTTCCTTTCTTTTCCTCTCTAGATTATCGTGGCCATCGCTGAAATCGCCCTGCTCTGCGTACCTCCCGCAACAACGTGCCCATCTATAGGCCAGATGAAAACTTATCAACGGCTGGTCGCTACCCCAGACACTTGTTCGGATTGGTTGTAAAAAGAAGACAAAAAGGATGAAAAGTCGTCCAGCGAAAGTGTGGGAAACAATGAGAAAAGAATCGGAAGGTAAGGTCGATTCAGGGAGCGGGGAGAACCTTGATAAAAGGAAAAGATCGAAAGATCAGAAGGAGGAGAGGGAGTAAATGCACTTATCGAAGGGATTACTGGAGCAGAAATAATAAGTTTATCAGTTGAGGTATGGTGACTGTAGATGAAATGATCGACAGTAATTGTAACTCAAAAGGATAATTTTGATGGCTTTATGTCCTCTGAGGAAGATGGTTTGATCACGAGGTTTTGATTCTTATCCAACTCAGAGGATAGAATGTCATCAAAGAACATTGAAGGTTAAATTAAATTCACGATCATAATGGTGGCACAAAAGATTTGGCATTGTGTTGACTGTCCTAAATTACGAGTAATTGGTTGGTTGTATTTGTAGCGTCACACACTTCTTCAGGTTCAATAGCCTAGGGTTAGATGCGATTCAACGCTGATGCTGACCTTCATAGTTTTGCCGGATTCACTAAGCCAAAGGCACACGATCAAACATCCCAGCCAGTTGGCACGATATCGTGTTGCGTTGCACTGCTCGTAGCTGACCTTCTAACCAGTTAGTTGGAACGCATCGGTGTCTTCATGTGACCTCACACGCATGCATCAATTATACGGCTATGGAATCATCAGTGAAGTACCATAACCAAACAATTTGTTCACACATTCCCTCACAAGCTTTTTATCATTATTCCAAACAAAAAGCACAGACTGTTACAATGGAAGTATTAGCCTCAAGCTTTATTTCCCTCCAGGTGATACATGTGGTGTCGAGATACAAACCTGGTTTTTTGTTAATGCGAAGACAATACTTCCACTTGTTCAGCTTGTAAATTTTGCGCATACTTATTCTGCTGGGACGTCTCATTATGTGAACATGCAGCACTCACATCTTCTAGTGACAGTAGGTTGGGAGTGAGATTGTCTTCCAAGAAGGTACGTGCAAATCATGAAGAAACTTATTCACACCTGTAAAAATGGTGTATGCCTGTATGTTCAGGAATAAGTATTATCGCCATTATACGATTCCTACAGGGCTACTGAATTGTTTTCACCAGTAGAACTTTTCACATTACTGGCCATTCTGGCAAAGTTCGCGTAAACCATGGAGGTCATCTTGCAGCGTGATTTTCGATGAAAAACGGACCAAGGTAGTCTAGCACCAAGAGAAAGAAACCACTGATTGCAAGCAGTCAAAAACTGTGGTAACAGTGTTCGTGCCAAAGATGAGTGTAACGTTCTAGAGACTTAACAGCGAAGGCCACTAAACAAAAGGCTGAGATAAATTATATGGGGTTTTTTCCGAGTAAAATGAAGAGCAAAAAAAGCAAAAGTGTTTGAGGAGAGCGTACGCTAGAGGTTAAGGAAGAAGAGTTAGATTGAGCAGTTTCCTTTATCCTCCGTTCTGGGGCACTCATCTCAACGAAATGCTTTCATTCACCGTTCGCGTTATTTTTAACGTTGCTAAATGGAGGGCAATGGATTTCATAGCAAACGTTTTATTTTTGAATATACGGGAAAGTTAGCTGAATTATTTTAGGGCAGGTTTTCTTCTGAATCGCACAGTACCGTAAGTGCTAACCTCTGGCATATTGGGTGCAAATGTTGAGGCTGAATAAGCCCAAGGCTAGTGTTTGCGAGGACCCTTATTGTTCAAAATCGGTCTGATGATTTCTAAACTTTCCCTCAAAACTTTCTATACTCGTATGACCGGTAGAAGTATCTAGTTTTTAGATCACACCCAGCAGGCAGTGACAGAAATGTTGGTTTCCCTAAATTTTTCCTCAGGTTTGTTTGTGGGTACAAACCGTCGGCAGGATGTCACGCTTTCGAATGTTTCTCAGCTTCTGAGCTTGCACAGGCTGTAAGGGTTTAAGTTCTGATAGTAAGCTCGAAGACCTTATTTCTCCCCGTTGTAAAATCCAATGATCAAATTTCCGACTACCTACTTTTCTGAAGAGCGATGGAATAATAACATTTCATACCATCTTCGTTCATGGAATCCTGATCTATTCTCCGTGTAAAGTTTTTCAGTGCGCTCCGAAATTTTGGTTATCTAGGACCGCAACCACATCGTCCGGCACATTTTCGCTTTGCGCTGCTCTCTTTATGTGCAATCTCCCAGTCAGTTAGCTGAGGTAGTTTGGTAAACTGGCACGACACAACATATATACGCTTCCTACACAGCTGCCGGACTGCCTTCGAATTTGGTTTCATACTTGCAAGTGTCGGACAAATAAAGAGAAGTAGTGGTTGTTCTCTGTATTTGTCCAGAACACGTGCAACAACTAATAAGGTATTATTCTGACTGTCTGAAAGTTCTGGCTATATGCATATCCACTTGCTTTGAAATGGTGAAGGCTTAATATACCCACGTCACGAGGCCTCGAGTATTATTGAGTCAAAATAAAACTTCAGGAGCCATATGCTCCGTATACACATGCGTGAAGTCTTCAGAATAGGAAATGAGAGTCGCCCCTTGGGTGTTAATCATGAGTTACATGTACACTAATTCGAAGCCAAAGTATCAAGGTTTCCACAGTTGACAAAGAGATAACCATGCAATTAGGAATACCGCAAGTGATCACTCCAAATGTCACTTCAAAGCAGGCATATTGTTCACTACTTATTTATTGTTGATCACCGATAGTGCGTTGATTTCAGTCATGTCGAAACTTTGGGCTTACCATAACCTATACTAGCCCATATGGGAAGCTGCGTCGGCCTAAGCAACACTTCAGTTTGATATCTGGGGAAGCAGAAGAGTAAACGAAATAAACATGTTATTAGCACAGCGAAGATGAAAATGCTAAGGAAAATTTGAACATGACTACATATTCGGGAGTCGTCGCTGGATGCGCTGACATTCCCATTGGGACTCACACCCAATGCCTATCGCCTTAAAAACCGATGCTGCCAAGTAATTTGTGATAAAATTAACACTCAGGCAATACTCGGGTAGTCACACAGAATGCCACCTAACAGTGATGAGATTATTTTTTCCATTATATCAACATAAAATTGCAGGTACCACTAAGTGAACAAAATTTAGGAACTTTCCCGGTTTGCTACGCTTACTATCCTAAATTTATGTCAACCTTAAGTTCAAGAACTATGACATCCGAGCCGTCGGTTAACCTTTATCGTGCATAAATGTGAATCACCATCTAAGAATTTTCATGAGTTGAGAGGTGAACAAGTGGTAACCGTTAGAATGCTACCCTTTCTCATAACGTCAGTCGTAAGCTGTTCGAGTCTGAAATTATATTTTGAAGCATGTCCTTTTAACGGGGACGATGGCTGCTTTATGCGTTCCAGGCTGATAGCTGAGATTCAATTTTATCAGGTTAAAGGAACGGATTATGCTGCTGCAATCTAGAGGTATCTTTGGTAGTAACACTGTGCCCCATGTAGCGGAAAATTGATCTGAAAATCCCTCCCGATCACCCTTACTTGATTTTATTGACATTTATTTTGACATTTTTACCCTCGTTATGGATGGTGTACCTCTGACCCTAGCCGGTGTAATGTTATTTGCTTGTTTAACTGTCTTATTTGACTTTACACTCGGTATTTGCCTTTGTATGTTTGAGACTTATTATGAACGTTTCACTTTCCTATTATGTGACGCCGGACTGTTGACAAGGTGATGTTGTTTTACTGCGCCCGACATTCTGTTTTGGTTCAACTTACGGTTGTGCAGTGATTTGACTGTTTGTCTTTTGACTGTCTACTGGGAACGTTTGTTTGTTGATTTGATTCCTGTAGGCAGAGTTTTGATCCCCTTTGCCGGGAATATTCCTACTGACCGACAGCACGTATTCGTACCCGAGAAAGTTTTGGACTGTATAGTTACCCAACGGTATTGTTGAGGTATTTTTGTAATTTTGGCATAACTTATTGTTGCTTTGATAGTACCACAGATTTTGCTACGAATCTACTATTGAATTACCACAAACCGTGTTTTGATATTTTGATCAAACCTTTGACTGTGCGTCACTCGCGGAAGTTAGGAAGCTATACAGT